GTTTTGCAAAAAAAAAAAAAAGTTTTGCGATGTCATTTTTTTTGGTACTGGGGTTTGAACTTGGGTCCTTGTGCTTGCGAGGCAGGCGGCAGTGCAGTGTCATTTTATAACCAGAGGATTTATATATCCTTTAAAAAAATCCTCTGTTTAAATAATACCTTTTTAAAAAATATAAGCAATATTTTTCATTGAAAATATATTACATTTTTTAAACATCTGTTAGTTGACTAGTTAGTGGGAGACCTGTCATTGCTCATACTTATCATTCAGCTAGAAATCATAACATGATGGCTTTGTTATACTTTTTTTTTGGTACTGGGGATTGAACTCGAGACCTTGCACTTGCGAGGCAGGTAGTGGCACCACTGAGCTAAATCCCTGGCCCTATTATACATTTTAAAATGAATCATTGGTCAATAATCAGTCATAAGAGTCACTGATATTTGATCTATTGACAACTAAGGAGCGTAAGTATGGATAATAACCCTGCAAATTTGCCTCAAGGTAGTTATCCCTCTATGTGTAAATTGTATTCATCTTAGGGAAATTGTTGTCTAGCACATTATGATGTCTAGCACTCCAGAAATAATGACAAAAAGGTATAAAATATGATTAAATCAAGTTTGTTTATTTCTGGGGAATAAAAGACTACATATTTAAAGAATTATCTAGAAGACCAGGGCTGCAAATTTTTTTTACATACAGTTTTTTAAAAAGAAATTTAAAAATTATTTTTAAAAGCCAGCTTTTTGGGCAGGGGATTTAACTCAGTGGTTTCGCCACCTGCTGCGAAAGTGCAAGGACCCAAGTTCGATCCCCGGTACCAAACAACAAAAAAAAGCCAGCTTTTTAAAAAAGTATAAAAGAATTTCAAATATCCAGACATGAAAATAGGGCCCTCCCCAGCTTGGATGGCCTAATACCATTTTCATTGTAGTTTGAATATAGCCTCAAAATCTAACTATAGCCTCAAAATCTAACATGAAAGCAGATAATTCTGACAGTTAAGCTTACTTGCAGCTGGACGAGGTTATAGACTCCTGGGGAGGTGAGGGATCACAGGGCCCCATCTGCTCATCCGTGGTAATCCACTGAGGCTCTGGTGGAGTGCTGTCAGGAGGTGTGGTCCATTTGGAGGCGGGCCCCTGGGCGGAGCCTGTGGAGGAGGGTGTTCATCTCCTGGCTCTGCTCCCCTCCTCTGCTTACCTCAGCATGAACTGAGTGGCTGAGCTCCTCCAGGCCTTTCCACCCTGGTGTTTCTGCATTGGAGCAGCCAAGAATGAATTAGACCCTCTGAAAGTGTGAGCCAAATTAAACTTCTCTTTTCAGTTGTGTGTATTGGGTATTTTGTCCCAGCAATGGGAAAGCTGACAAATACAGTAATTATATAAATCATTTTTTGTCATACCATCCTGTATCTTTCATAACTTTTAAAATTAACTAAAAACCATTAATGTCATTTGTAAAGTAGGAAAAGTAGTATTATAAAGGTCATTTTATATTCAAGATTTTGTAATATTAATAATGCAGTAGGGCCGGGGATTTAGCTCAGTGGTTTATTCGCCTGCTGCGCAAGCGCAAGGACCTGAGTTTGATCCCCGGTACCAAAAAAAAAATAAAAAAAGTAAAAAATAATGCAGTAAATCTTTTTTTCAGGGAAACTTAAAATTCACTATATACTACCTCTTATTCTGGTCTGTGAAAAATACCATAGAATGATGAGGATGGTAGAAGGGAGGTTTTCATAACTGTTTGGGAAATCGTACAGCTTTAGAGAGTCATGATGGGCCAGTCTAAAGAAATGCTGAATGCTTTGGGGAAATTTTCTCTTTAAAATATTTTCTGAGAAAAAAATGAATAAAAATGCTGTTTGTGGTTTCATCATCTCTGTATGTAAGGAATTTTAATTTTTTATTTTTGTGGTGCCTTACACATGCTAGGCAAGTGCTCTGCCACTGAGCGATACCTCCAGCCTGGAATTGTTTGCTTTCAAGCTAGGATACATGTTTATGAATTAATCACATCTTGGAATAGGTGACAATATCAATAAGTACTTGAATATTTTGAAGAAGATAATAAACTATATAATATTTTAATTAATATAATCTGTTAAAATTATACACGTGGCTTTTTGTACTCTTTAATGTTTTCGTTCTAATTCACAGGTTTGTGTGTGTGTGTATGTTTTTTTTTTTTTTGTACCGGGGATCAAACTCAGGACCTCGTGCTTGTGAGACAGGCGGCAGAACCACTGAGCTAAATTCCCGGCCCTTGTATGTTTGTTTTTTGAGAGAGGGTTTCACTCTGTAATTCATTCTAGCCTTGAACTGAGTATATAGTCCAGGTAGGCCTTGAACCCAGAACAATTCTCCTGCCTCAGCCTCCTGAGTGCTTAGATTACAGGTGTGCACCATCACGCCTGGCTCACAGTGTTATTTCTTATTAGCCATTTCACTAAAGATTGTCAGCTATATAATTATGGAAAATGTGTCTTTAGAATTTTTAGCAGTTATGTCACTGTTTTATTTTCATATTTAGAATCATGGTATGAAAATGGATTAGACGTAAGAGGTAGGACCTAAATATGATTTTGGGGGAGCCTTTATTTTCTAATTTTGGTTTTAATTTTAATGATTATTACTCTTTAAGGCTGGACTTTTAAGAAATCTTGTTTGTATTTCTTTCATAATTTTTGTGTGGTGCTGGGGAGGAACCCAGACTGCATGCTGGTCAAGTGCTCTACGCTCAGGCCTCACCCCCAACCTTTTCCTCCTTTAATAAACTTTCACAGGTTTGCTGGATTAGTATGGTTTCCTACTCTTGTTCTACCACATCAACTCTTGAACATGTCAGTTCTCTTGCTGATCATTTGCTTTCCAGTTTGTTTCTGTGCAGTCACACCTCACTAGAGTGGAGTTCAGACTGCTCATGCAGACCTGGTTTGCCCTCTTGGAAGCAGCTGTCTGTCATTATGTGTTGCATTTTGGCAAGCCTGTGTCATTTTCCAAAGGCAGAAAGTGGACAGTCATCTGATGTTGGCAGTCTTAAGCTCTACAGTTCATTGTGGTCTTTTCTTGAATTATCCTTGGGTATCATTGTTCTAGAATGTCTAATAAGGTGAGTTGAGAATGTTCCCTTGCATTTGTGTTCTCCAAAAGCGTTTTAAGATTAAGATGATCTGTTCTTTGTTCTTTAAAACTCCCATATAAACTTGTCTCGACCTGAAATTTTCTTACTGGGAAGGGTTTTTTTCACAAATACTTTATATTTACTTACTTTAGTTTCTTGTATTTTTATTTTTTATTAGGAAACATTTTGAATACACAAAGTTTTATAACATCAAATAGAAATTTGAAACCAACTGGCTCTTTCATATTAAGGGATTATTTCTTTTAAGGTGAGATAGTGGTGTTGGCTTTTATTTTTTAGAGTCTTTATGCTTTGGAGACACATACCTAAACAACAGATAAATTGTCACATCTGCAGTTTCCTTCACTGTAATATGGGTTGCAGAAGGTGAATGAGGATCAGTTAGGATTGACTATGGCTTGGGTGATTATTGGACCTACTTGTAAGGATACCTAAGTGGATATGGTTTTTAAATCATTTTAATGATTTCTGATTTGATTGTTGATTTTTAGCTAAATTTTCTTGTGATAACATCATGTGTTAGCTTCTTTGAAAATTACCAAGACTTTCTTTATGGACTAATTCACAAGCAAGTTTTTCGTTATTTTATGTTTGCTTGAAAAGAATATGTAATCCTTTATTATTGGTTGTAGAATTCTGTATTTGTCCATTAAATGAATCTTTTTAGTGTTTGGTTTCTCTTTTCCATTTTTAATACAGTTCTCTGTTTCTCATCATCTACAGATTGCACTGAGGATAGGTTAACATATTCTTCTGTGTTTCGTACATTGATAGTTGAATTTAGACAGTGATCACGTCCACATTTGATTTCTTTTTCCAAGGCTGTTACAGAATGGCAAGGTGCTGCTTGATCACAAGACTTGGAGTAGTTTTCTTCTTGCCTGTAATGTTAGCAGCTGTGTTATTTAGTGATATAGAGCCTTGATCCCTTACTTCATTAACAGTTGTAAAAGGATGAACTTACTCTATTCAGTCCTTCATTTCCTAGCTGGAATGCTTTTATAATAAATGCTTTATAATAATAAACTTAGCCTAGTTTTATTATTTGTCTGTTGAGTGGCTTATTTTCCCTTTATTTTCTGGCTTTCAGTATGGAAAGTTTTTCCCTACCTTAGTCCAGAGGTTACTGGCTTACCCATATTGAATGTTTTAGTCTGTGCCATTTATTATTCTTATTAATGTGCAAATTGTCACAATGCCAATCACTGGAGGCCTTTTCAGACACTTTTGGCATGACCGTGGGCTTTGATAGCTTTTTAAAAAATCTAGATAAGGGGCTGGGGATTTAGCTCAGTGGTTCCACTGCCTGCCTCCCAAGCACAAGGTCCCGAGTTCAATCCCGGGTACCAAAAAAAAAAAAATCTAGATAAGATGTTCCAAGCTCATCACGTATATTTCTTTCTCCAATGAGCCCTGATTCCTTTTAATGAGAAATAGTATTTAAATGTCACAACATGGATGTTAAGGTTATAAATTTCTGTAGGATCAGACTAGAAAATATCTCATTATGATTTTAGTGGACATGACTAATTTTAAGGTAATATGAAAATTCTTTGCTGATTACATTATTACATTAAGGAATTGATTTTTATTACCAAGAAAGAATTAATATTGATAAAAATACTGAAATATTTCATCTGAATTGCTAGTATCTCATTTTAAAAGGTTTTTGATAGATTTCTAGCAGATATTCATAATTTATTGATTCATAATTATTGATTTTTAGATGTATTAACTAAATGAAAATATTGAACTAAATGAAAATGTTGAAACAATATTGCATATTTTAATCTCATTCTACTTCACTGGTTTTAATAGTGGTTTGGTAAATGTTTCTTTTTTCCCCATAGGTTATTTTAGTGTCTGCCAATAAACTGACCCGGTACATTGAGCCATGCCAGTTAACAGAAGAGTTTGGTGGGAGTCTCACCTATGATCACATGGACTGGTTAAATAAGAGGCTGGTTAGTACATTTCAATGAGATAAAATATTATTGCATATAAATCAGATATTTTAACACTTTTATTACTATGATAAACAAAAAATGTAGATTATTTTCCTTTTCACAAAAATGAAGAAATTCATTGCATACCACATTAATGTTTGAGGACAGTTAGTCTGGAATTAGATCATGTGATTGCCAGTTGCTGGTATATGACCTTTAGGATGTGTTTAATCTCTCCATGTCTCTTTTTTACATCTCTAATATTGTAATAATAATAGTCCTAACCAGTGAGTAAAACAAAATAAACATATACCTAAAGCATTTAGGACAGTACCCAACATGTTACATTAGTTCTCTGTGAAAGTTACCTTTCCATTGTCATTAGTAGCATCAATAAAAGTTGTAAAATGTTTTAAGTAGAATGACAAGCTAGCACAGTATCTTCAGAGGTAATTTAATTGATACATACTTTTCAGAGAATATTTATCAATTTTAGTAATTTGATATAATAAACTTTTCATTTCCGAAAATGTGTCTTCTTTGTCTAGACTTCTGTAACCTTCTACTGTGCATAATATGACATTGTTTTAATCAACTGCTGAAAGACAGTCTTAAATTAAGTCAGTTTAGATTATGTGTTAAAACCGTGGTAAAATCATGAATTTATGGTTATCTCTGAATGGATGACCAGTTCTTTTTCTACCATATTTGCTCAGTGATATCAGACAATTGTGTATCTACTTTATTAAATATGTTTAAACAGATTTGCTCTAATTTTTTTAGAAATAACTGAACAAATCAGAACTAATTTATTTTTATAGTACACGCTTATTTGTAAAACTTCAAAAATTTTTAATAGCATATGTTTTCCATACATAGCAATTATATTCAGCATGGGGGTTTGATACATGTATATTGCATCTTAATCATTTTTACTCTTGATTATCTTGATACATCTTGGATCATTTTTCTTAGCATGTCTTTTATTTTGCTCTGTAAATTTATATTTTGGGTCTCAGAGAAACCATGTGATATTTAACCTTTTGTAACTTATTTCACTCAGAAAACAAGTAAGCTTTTCTGAATAAAGAATAAAAAAAATTTTCTTAATATATTTAACATTTAAAAAACACTCTTTTTCCATTGAAACTAGATTGTTTTAGGATGTGTCTTTGTCTTGTTATGTACACTGCTGTGCTGCAGTGGTTGAATTGTACTAAGTGACTTCCTGGGAATTGCTAATTCTGTTGTTCTTAACTAAAAATCCTATTACATATCAAGTTTTAATATATTATTATGTTAATTAAATTTATACTGTAGGTTTTTGAGAAGTTTACAAAGGAGTCTACTTCATTATTAGATGAACTTGCTTTGATTAACAATGGAAGTGATAAAGGAAATCAGCAAGAGAAAGAAAGGTAGGTGGCTGATGGCATATGATGGTATTCTTGCAAAGTTATGATTGATCTGTTAGAGAATACTGTATTGTTAGTGCTGAAGAACTATGATAAGCAAGTGTCCAGTAAAAATTGAAATAAGATATTTATAAAAATTTGCTTTTCTTATAAAACATTCTAATTTAAATCATTTCTTTATAGAAGCCACTTTTTGATGAATAGTAATATATTTACATTTTTGTAACACTAGAAAATACTAATTTGGGAGAACATTTTAAAAATGAAATATTCTACTCTAGTTCTAATATTTTCTGGTAAACAGTATGGAAACAGTTACAACTTAAAATTATTGTATCTTTATTTAAATATATTAGCACTTAAATGCCTAGCTTGTAGGGCTTCCTCTGGCTTTTGTAGAATGGATTTAACTTAGAGAATTTATTGTTTTATAACACTGGATGAAATAATTATTGAGTTGTATTCTCCATGTAGCTACTTAGATTTATTATTTTAATAGATTTCCATTAAATTTAATGTTACCAGTTTTTATTTTTCTTTTGATCAAGAGGCCAGTTTCCTTTCCTCTTGCTAAAAAGCACTTTAGGAATCACATCAGCTCTTTCTGGTCTCTTCATTACTGGTCATGAGGACAACAGGTTTTCATTAGGAAATTTTTTTTATTAAGAATCAACAAGGCATCCTTGTCTATTTCCTTTGTATCTGACCTTGAATATAGAGTAGAACCTTGATAAATGTATCTTCTTATTCCATGAATCCAGATATAGTCACATATTAATAAACCAAAACAACAAGGTAAGAGGGATGTAAAAGGATTCTAATTTTAATACTAGATCTTTATTAGAACAAGTTCTAAATGTGAAAACAAAGAGTTTGAATGTAAATCTGTTACCATAAGCAGTTAGGAACATTCTATTCTGTAGGTACCACATGAAAACAAATACATAATATGGTTTGTACATGTATATAGCTATCTCATAAACACACAGAGGAGTTGAAGATGTTACACAAGGTACTTCATAAAAATTAGCAGAAATTAGTCAAATATCTTTGCTTTCTGATTAGTCCATCAAAGGAAATTTGATGTTTCCAAGTTCCATTCCTCAGGAAAGACATCCAAAGAGGGTGCTTGTAGAAAATGAGTCCGTGGTCTAGAGTGTAATGTTGTTGACTGTATTTTCCTCCTTAGAATAACTAAACATTATAGATTAAGGGTTCTGAGGAACCACTGCAGGACAGAAACCTATTTAATTAATTGCTTCATTAGAATGTCCCATCCTCATGTGCGAGTAAGACCCCTTTTTCTTTACTAGTAATATCGTAATACTTTGGGAAATGCTGGTTTGCCGTGTCTACACAAAGTATTAAATGACATCTTGTATTTGTGAGTCCCTCTTCAAGTTACTCAAATGTTATTGCTTAGTTTCTTTTATACTCAGATAATAAAGTTCCCACTCTCACAAAATTTCTTCAGCTTTTTTTTTTGGTACCAGGGATCAAACTCAGGACCTTGCCCTTGTGAGGCAGGCGGCGGAACCACTGAGCTAAATCCCCAGCCCATCTTCAGCTTTTTAATGTCAATCCTCAGGAAGCATCTAGGCTACACAGGGTTGAGGGCTTAGATCAGTTGACAAAAAGGAAGGATTTAGTTCAAGGCTGATCAGTTACTGCTTATAGCAGCATGTTACCTGGCTTTGATTTGCCAGGTTCCTTATTTTGCCTTATTATTTTTCCCAAATGTGTTTTAGGAAAATAAGGCAGAGATCCAGCTGCACAAGAAACATAATTAGATTAGGGAAGAGAGAGTATAACCGCGTGCGTGTGTGTGTGTGTGTGTGCATGCACCCATGTGGCACACACACGCCCAGATACCCATAACTCTGCGGTACAGAGAATATTTGCAGCTGACAAAAGTTGCTATAGATAAGTGGAAAATGCTTGCATTCATTTAAAATGTATATTTCTGGTTGCTATGTAGCTAAATATTTTTATTTTGAACAAATATAAAAATGGATTTCTTTGATGTATTTTAGATAGTAGTATAAATAACAGTTAACTGTATTTTTCCACATAGTGTGATTTTATGATTTTAAAATTTAAAACTTCTGTCACATTAATATTTCTTTGGCTGTTAGCATTTAGTTTTTTAAATGGGCTTCTTTATACTTAAGAGAAATTAGCATGGTGAAAATAGAATGTTTTAGGTTTTCATACTTGCATATTTCTGTTCTGATATTATATATAAAGGAATTTCTTAAGTTATATAGATAGAAATATGTTTTAAAAATTATTCTTTTGCGGCTTGCCAGGTCTGTGGACTTAAACTTTCTTCCTTCAGTTGATCCTGAAACAGTTCTTCAGACAGGTGAGATGAAAAAAAATATTCACTGTTAGTGATAATAATCCAATAAAGCAGTTGTATTGGTTGGTCCATTGATTCAGTGTGTATGTGGTACATGTGATAGAAATTTGAGAGGACATTTTTCAACTCCTTTTTGGTTTAACCTAACAGTATGTTAATAGCCTTTATAACATTAAAAATTAATAACACTTTATCTCACTCTTGAAATATTTGGACTTATTTTTTTCCTTTGTTTCTTTTCTGTTGCTGGGTATTAAACCCAGGGCCTCAGACAAGCTAAACAAGTCTTCTACCACTGGTCTACATCCCTAGCCTTGGATTTATTTCTTATTCTGTAAAATAGAGATAAAAATTTCTTCTTCATTTAGTTGTAAGGAAGATTATTGACTACCCATTATGTGGCAGGCCTTGTATTTTCATATTTCATTCTCCTAATAATCTTTTGAAATAATATTTTTTCTCTGTTTTATACTTGAGAAAGCAAATGCTTAGAGATTTTTTTAAAAAACCCTCCCCAGGAACAGCTTGTTCAAGATCAAATGAGTATGAAACTCTATCACCATACCTCAGAGAATGGGCGTAAAGGCAAAGCCAGTAGTTACACTGTGTTGTAGTCATCTATGTAAAAAGTTAGCATGTTGCAGTGACCTTGCAAACAGTGAATACTCAGTGCTGCATGAGGTATATATTCTCTGGTAGCTATTTTATGAATTCTGTGTGAGCAAATTGGAATTGTTTCCAGTGGAGGTAATTTTATTTCTAATCAAATTTTCATAATAATAACAACTCATAATTCTAATCTGACGGTATACCAGGTACTGTTTTAAACAGTTCACATATGTTAATTCATGGATTCCTCAGCACAGTCCTGTGAAGTAGGTTCTGTTATCACCCCTATTTTAAGAGGGAGAAAATTGAAGAATAATAAGGTTAAGTAGCTTATGGTGGTCATGTAGCCAGTACACATTAGAGTTAGTACCTGAACCCAGGCAGTTTGGTTTCAGAATATGTGTATTCTTTGAAATAATTACTTTGTGCTGCTTCTCTAATGGAAATGGTATCCATAAGGAACACATTATGGGTATCAATTGTCAAAGTAGAGAAAATAAATTTATTCTCGTTTTAATGCCTTCTATGTGCATGTGTAGACTTTTTGGAAAGATTAAGATATATTTTAAACATTTTCACAAATATTTAGAACAGATATTTTTCCAATGATAAAATGTAATGAAGACTTAAAAATTTTTTTTGAATATTTTTGTTGTATTGATTCAATTGTCCTAAATTTTCCCAGTATGAATAGATCTGTTTTCCTTGGAGAACAAAGAAATACTTGTAATTGTTGAGTTATGTGTAGAATTGCAATAGACTATCAGTGAAAGTACTACTCTATATTTGAAACTTAATTCTATGTACATATTTAACATTTTAAAACCTTCTTATTTTAAACCCATTGAATTAAGCTTTTAAAATTTGTATTTTAAAATTAACTTTATATGCCACTAAGTCTTATTCTATTTGCTATTAATTCTTAAGATAGGGATTGGAAGAATATAAAATGGAGAAGTATAGAACAGTCTGGAGACTTTTTAAAAAAATTAAAAATAGCTCTAAACCATAATAAAGGTTCTGTTTCTATAAATTGAAAGATATTTGCATTTAGAGGGATATTTTCTAAATAAAGATGAAGAGAGTTTAAATATATATTGTTTTGGAATCTAAATAATGATCAGAACAGTTTTATTCTTGAAAAGCATACTTCAACTTATTTTAAAGTTATGTATATTCCTACAGAACTAGTTGCCCATTCTACTAATTTTAATTTATCCTGTAAATGTGGATTTCCTGTATTAATTTTCTATAATTGAACCATATTTAGTGTAGTTCGTATGATGTGTCATGAGTCAACAGTTAATATGCTGTAGAGATTATGTAAATATTATTTCATACTAGTAATGAAAACTTTCTCCATTTATGCTAATCATACATTCATTTCACTGTCATCCTTCCTTGTTGGTTCTGTGATTGAGAATATGGATCAGTACTGAAAGCCTACCACATGCTGCTTGGATTAGTACCATCAGAATCCCAGAGTATACTTTTGCTGTATAAGGAAGCATCATTTATCAGCACAGTGTCCTGAGTAATGAATCCTCCAATAAAAAGAATGTGATAAATGAATAGATAAAAAATTTATCACATCATATATGTTATATAGCATATAATTGGCATATATGTTTATAGTATGTGATACAGCATTTTCATATATTTTCTAGTACTACATATATAGAATAATGTATCCACATGTATATTTGTATGTTGCTTAGTTTTTGTACTTAAAATTGCATTTTACTACGTATGACCTCTAGGTAGGGGGATAGGTAAATGGATAGATTTTTAAAGCGAAAGAATAGAATTTAGAATATTGAGAGGTGAGAAATTTTTTTTTGTTTGTTTGTTTCTTTTGGTACCAGGGATCAAACTCAGTTCCTTGCACTTGCAAAGCATGCGCTGCGGTGCCACTGAGCTAAATCCCCAGCTGAAATGTATTTTTCTTTTTTGAGGGGGGTAGCGGGGATTGAACTCGGGACCTTGCACTTGCGAGGCAGGTGCCGGAATCACTGAGCTAAGTCCCTGGCCCTGAAATGTATTTCTTAATGGGCATTAATAATGGGTATCTTTCATTTGTAAAGGACATGAATTGTTATCCGAATTACAGCAGCGTAGATTTAATGGCTCCGATGGAGGCGTCTCATGGTCTCCTATGGATGATGAACTGCTTGCACAGCCACAGGTTATGAAATTATTAGATTCACTCCGAGAGCAGTATACTCGCTACCAGGAAGTTTGTAGGCAGCGAAGTAAGCGCACACAATTAGAAGAGATTCAACAGAAGGTGATGCAGGTAGGTGTCTGATTTGAATATAGCTGTTTTTAATTCTAAATTATTTTTCCCTGATAATTTCTATTGGGTGACTGGCTTTGCATTTTTATTTACACTATAAAGAGATCTTTAGACATTTTCAAATTGGATTCTAAAATTATTTTAGCTATGTATCTTTTATATAAGGTATCTGAATTAAAGTATTTTTATAGTGAGTGATTACTTCACCTACTCATGACTTGCTGTCTTCTTTGTTTCTTCCCTTCTATCTTTCCTTCTCTTCCTTCTTTTACTAATTGAAATAGGGATCATAACACTTATTTTGAAAGGCTAGTGTTTGGGAAAAGCCTAGCATTCAATTAATCATAGCTATGATATTTATTTCTGTTGAACAAAACTCTAAAGACCTAGTTCAGTTGTTGGTGAATTTTTTTGTCCAAAAAGCCAAATATTTAAGCTTCACAGACCAGTCTTTGTTGCTGCTTTTCTCTGCCATTATAGTAAAGAGCAGAAATAGGCATGTTAATGAATATGCATGCCCTTTCTCCCATAAAACTTTATATACAAAAATGGGTGGTGAGGCAGAATTGACCTACAGGATATATATTTTGCTGACCTTTGAACTAGAGCATCAAGATGCCATAGTAAAAAAGACTTGGAGGTAGGAGTTGGATCGGGGAACATGTTGAATTCTAGGCAGAATGCTGGATCTCTAATCCATGATAACCACATATACTTTTAAGATTTCTGAGTATACATTAATTAAATGTGACTTTTTCTATGTACTCATGTTGAAGAACAGTTTCTGATAAACCCAGGTAAGCTTTAGTCAGTTAGTTTGAGGTTATCTTTGAAAACCACAAGTGGTGCAGAACTCAGATTCTGAGCCCAAGTTGTCTGGATCAGTGCTCTTTCCCCATTACAAGCAGCCTGACCTTGGAAGAAGTTCCGTGCCTACTTTCCTCACAGTAAACGGGCTGACTGCATTCCCTATTTAATAGGACTATCATCAAGATTACAAAGATAATTTTTTAAAAAGGTGTTTAGTGCCTGTCACATAGCAAGTTCTGGCTGTTGAGATGTAGGCAAAGAGAACATGAGTGATAGAATTCATTTGTGCTTTGCTAAATGGGTTATGGGGTTAAAGACGGACAAAGGAATTAATGTATTGACAAACATATTTTTGAAGTGATGATTGGGCCAGCTCAATTGAATAAAGAAATTGAACAAGGGAGATGATGATGGTATTTATATTGATGTGATGATGGTAGTGAGATTATTGTTAAAAACAGATAAACTGGGCTGGGGATTTAGCTCAGTGGCACTGCGCCTGCCTCATAAGCTCAAGGTCCTGAGTTCGATCCCCAGTACCCCCCCCCAAAAAAACAGATAAACTTTGGTTTGGGGATTTAGCTCAGTGGTTCCACCGCCTGCCTTGCAAGCACAAGGTCTGACGGATAAACTTCATTACAGCTCAGTTTTCTCTATAAGGGTACAAGTGAATTAACTGAAACATTAATATTCACAACATAATATTTTCCTTCATTTTTTCACAGATCATAATTTATGGAAAAATCTATTTCCCTTGCCAAAGTGATTACTGAAATTTAATTTATAATTAACACATTGATTGTGTAGCACCTTTAGTCTTGCAAATTTGGGGAAAATGTAAAAAAATTTTTATATAAAGATAACCATAAAGTTGAATGTCTGTTTATATTAAATTGGTGAAAATTGACTTATTCTAAATTTTTTTACTGAGTTATCACTGAAAACATAATGCCAGAAGAATCAATAGCTTTAGATAAACTATGTGGTAAGTAGTAACACAACAGTTATCAGTCACTTATTCCCCACAGTTCAAATTGGCAGCATCAGACTTCATGTAGTATGCAGATATTCTGCACTCAGCTGCTGCTGTGATAGTTAACAATTAGATTTCACATGCTGTGGGGTAGGAGACAGTGCCACTTCACTGAAATGTGTTATCGTTTTTCTCATTATTTATTATGACAGTAATTACTGCTAACACTGCAAATGTTATTTCTAGAGTCATCCATGTGCTTTTCTTCCATTGTAGAGAAGAACCATAGACTCAAAATAGAATGCACTCTGAGTTGCCTAAGTGTACAGCTAGGGGCTGTGTTCTTGGTCCCCATATCCTTTCTTCAGGTTAGATACTTGATTTGCTTGACATGCTTTTCTGCTTAGTTTGTCCTTGCATACTTGCTGATATTCTCTCATACAGGCTTTTGAAATCAGCCCAGCTATGAAAGAATAGTGGATAGTCACAAACATTTTAGGCCTATGCAAATATTTGTCCTGGTAGATTTTAAGAACTCATCTCCAAGGTTATACTTTGCATATAAATATAACCATTTGAAGGGTCACATTGTTATAGATTGGGCATAGAACTGTTTTTGTAGTAAATTAATATTCAGATTAACTGAGCAAGATGTTGTGATTGAAATTAAGTTTTATAATGCATTTTGGCAAACCACCATCATTAATGCATTTAAATAGACTTGTTTACTGGGACATCAACCTCAATTTGCATCATTTTTATTGGAAATAGTCATACATTTACTGTGCCTACATTACTGATGTTGCACACTAAGGAAAATTACTTTCTGCATACATTAAAGCTATACGTGCCAAGGAAATGTCTTTGCTATGTTTAAAATTTATTTTAAAATTTATGGCTCTTCTGAAATTCCATACTTAGTCCCTTTTGTGCTATTGTAACAATATCTAAGACCGAGTAATTCTAAAGAACAGAGATTTATAGCTCACATTTCTGAAGGTTAAGAATTCCAAGGTTGAGAGACCAGCATCCAGTAAAGGCCTTCTTGGTGGGTTCTGTCTGTATGTTTTCATCATATAAATGCTTAGAACTGATGCAAATTGGAAATACTTTTATGATCAACATTAGGGAGGCAGAGTCTTGAAGGCAGGTGCAAGAGTGATGAGATCATATATTACTTGGAGCTAATGAGGGTTAGTTGGTTGCAGAGGAGAGAGGTGGGAAAGAGGTGGGCAAGCAACAAACAAGGAAGTGGGTCTTCACATAAAAAGAGGTTTATAAAACCGATGAAATATAATGATTATAGCTGCATGATAAATCATTAGAGTATTGTAGTTTAATGTTAAGTGAAAAACACAAGATAGAAATTACTTGCACTCTGAGAATTAGCTGTAGCTACTAAATGTGGAGTAGTATGTGGAAACTCTGCATGTGGAAAGTTAATGGAATGAGATATACATGATTTTTCCTTATGAAGTATTTTAATATAATAATAAAAAATGAAGATGCATGAACTGTTAAAAATTTAAAAATGAATACATGTTAACCTGGTAACAGCAAAGGTGCACTGTGGAGTCACACCGTTCTCATGCATGGTTCTAATGTAACACTGTACACTGCATCCAAAATAATAAGCCACGGACACCTGCTTTCACTTCTTGGGAGCTGCCCTAAGTTTAGATTTAGGGCATGAGTACCTCTCTTCTTAAATTCTTTATCCTAAGTTAGAAAAGTTAAACTTTGTAATATTTTTTGCTAAAATTTCTTCACTATGTGACTGTGGGTGAAGAGTTAACAAGTCTCTCCTCCTGCCAGAGGATTTGATCTTTGCTTGACCAACTAGCTCTTTTTTCCTGAAAACCTGATAATAATTGGAATGTCAACTATGTGACTAGGCCATATTGCTTATAGTAAAAATTATCCTAGATCTGGATTGGGAGAACTATTGATTTTCCATGGAAAGCATTTATATTGGGCATCCTTGAATTCAGTGACTCTCACAGGGCATGAAATCTGATGCTAGAGTGACTCCCATACCTGGGCCATGTGGATTTTACCTCCTTATGCCTGCTTCAGGGGCTCAGAAGAGTGACACCTGGTGCTGTCATCCTGGCAGATGTAGCCCTCTGAGCAGACTGGTATCGGTGGGTCTTCTTGTGGGTCTGAATGTTTAGTTGATCCTAAGAAGGCACCTAGACTATAATTCTATATATTCGTTTATTCATATTCTTTAAAGTGAGAAACTAGTATTTTGACTTTGTTAATTATTCAGTTTTATATTTGCTTTGGGAAAAATGTCAGACTATGAGTCAGGGCACATGGCTTGTAGTCCTAGTCATTGTGCAATGGATGGTTACCTTGGGCAAGTCACTTAATCTCTCTGAAACTCAATTTTCTTAAGTTAAAAGATAAGAACTTTGACCAATGTAATTTCTGATGTCCCTTCCAACTCCAAATCCTGTAATTTTCTGATTCTCTTATCATAATTTAAGTTTTAATCCTCTCTTATAGAAGCATTCCAGATTTCATTTAGCCTGGTAGATGATCAGATAGCTGAAAGCCCAAGGTGCTGCAGTGTACATTCTTCCAAATTCAGGGTTTGGAAATGTCATATTACAGGTTTTTAATTCCAAAAGAAACATTTACTGCTCATAGTGAATTTAAAAATAGGTGAGGAATTTTGGGAAGAGAAAACCAATTAGAATAAAAGTTTGAAAAGCTTTCAATTATTTGAAAATTTCATCTCCACTTTGATTTATAGGTTGTGAATTGGCTTGAAGGGCCTGGATCTGAACAACTGAGAGCCCAGTGGGGGATCGGTGACTCCATCAGGGCTTCCCAGGCCCTGCAGCAGAAGCATGAAGAGATCGAGAGCCAACACAGTGTGAGGCTTTTTCTTCTGCTTTGCAAGTTACAGTGCTGTCGTTGATGTGCATCATGGTACTTAGTGTTAGGTGGCTTTAAACTTTGATATGGGGCATAAAACACAGTATGTTGAATGCTTGGGGGTCACAGAGTACATTTTGACCACTTAGTACATGGTTATTACTAAGGTTTTGTCTCCAATACAGTTTAATTATATTCTCATAGAAACACATTCCTTTGAAATATTAAAGTCTACTGTGACAAGGGCGATGATACAGTAACAGCCTTCGTCAATAGTCTCTGTGATAGAAACGTCATCCTTGATGCTCTGAGGGAGAGAGGCCCTTCCTGCTCACTGAGAGCCTCCGAGGTGTGTGTGTGTGTGTGTGTGTGTGTGTGGTGACGTCAGTGTCAGCACCGCGGGCAGGGAGTGATACAGAGGATGCAGGGTGGTTTTCATTCTCTGGGAATCTAGGAATTCACATTTGTAATGGTGAAAGACTGATGAGACTGGTCACAGGTGTGAATGGGGAAATGTAGTGATCTTCAGATTCTAGGTGATAACTGTTCAAGAGAATTTGAAATGCAAAAACTTGCTGTATGGAGGAAATGGATGTTTATTAAGCTCAGACTATGTTATAGTTAATTCTGCATTCCTGAGAAAGTAGTTTTTTTGTTTTGTGGATCAGCTTGCTCACCCCCTTCTCCCTCCAGCCATATTGCCTCTCATGGTGATAAAGAGCCAGGCATGGTGGCACGTGCCTGTAAATTCAGCACTAAGGAGGCTCAGGCAGGAGGATTACTGCAAGGTCAAGGCCGGCCAGAACTACATAGTGAGACCCTGTGTCAAAAATCCAAGGGGGAAATAGATGTACACACCCACACGTTGAATATAAAATTGGAGAAATAAAATTGAATTATTAATTTCTATCTCCTCATACTATCTTCAATAATTGGTCAATACTAATGTTAAACTCTGGACCCAGATGAGATTTTTAGGGTTATGTGAACATTATATTCCCACAGTGTTTTTCTTTCCCCATCAAATTTCCCAGTTGAAGTAGTAATTAAAAGGTGGATAGTATTAGGAAATGTGTATTAAAACAGAAGAGTAAATAATATACTTTCCCTGAGACTAAATTTGAATGAATAAGTCTTGTCATACGAGAGATACGGTATATGTTAATGATAGCTAATAATTTTTTTCCTTTTACATATATATTATTTTGTTTAATTCCCACAGTTTTTAACATAGTTATCCTCCCATTTGATTTAGCCATACTTACCGATAATCTATATACTGTACCCTTAAGAGTTATAATCTAGTTGAAGGAATTATATGTAAGAAAACTATCTCATTATTTGGAATTATCTAAAGATAGTGTATATATAGTCTTTGCAATTTTTGTAATTAATACTTGGAAGAGATTTAAAAAGCGAAATCCTACAATTGAAAATGTATATATTTTATGCACTTCACAGGTTCCAACATGGTTCTTCCTTTTATGGTAAAAAACAATTGAATTGAATAATTTATATTTAACTTGTAAGTCCTGTACCTGAGGTTATAATCTTTTAATTCTCTTAGTACTTTTAAAATAATATAATGTTGATTTTTTTTTTTTGACATGGATTGTAATTTATTTGAAACTTGGTGATTATTCTGGAATGTATTACTATGTAGTTGGATTCTATAATTTTATTTCCTGATTAGTTTTTAAAAACCATATTAGTCTTCACCCAAGAAGATTTAGTTATAACAGTATTCTGAAAGTTGTGTTGTGTTGTTTTGTTTTGTTGAGATGGGGACTCACTATGCAGTTCAGGCTGGCCTTGAACTCACTGTATAACCCAGCGTGGCATTACACTCATGTCGATCCTCCTGCCTCAGCCTCCTGAGTGCTAGGATTACAGGAGGGAGTCACCACACCTGGCTCAATAGTTCATTTAAAAGGGTATATAATACATGAGGCTCATAAGGACAGGATTTATATATTTTTATTATTTTTAAAAGATGCTAAGAGAAATAATTGTAGTTAGAAATTAGATTATATACATACATAAATTCATACAAGGAGTTGAAAAATACATTATAAATTGCATATGGGATGGATGAAATTACAGTTATATACACAGAAATTCCTGGGTTCAATTTTCTTTTGTATTTCTACTATAAAATTTTAAAATCAGCTTAAAGAAACCAATTATTTATGGGTGGCCCTTTCTATGTGCTTAAATGTACTTGTAATGTGGAATCAGTACACAGAACTTTTGAATTGTAGAGTACCACATGCTGATGATAGATAATCTGAATTTTGATTATTTAGATACTGCCACCTTCTTTTATAGATGAAGAAACTGAGAGATGTGAAACTGAACTACATTTTTTGAACAGTGAGTAGCTCAACCAAAGTTAGAAAAACAGACCTCTAGACACCCAAGTGGCATCCTTTCTGTCTTAGAGAAGTCTACTAAATTTTATGGGTAGGCTTGAAAGATGGTGTTCTTTTAATTATTAAATTCTTAAATTCTTAATGTTTGAGGACATATATGTTGACATCTGCATTCATACACAGGGTCCTCAAAGAAAAGAAAAACTTACCATGAATTTAATTTTTTTAAATAGAGTGTGTTATTTGAGAATTGTTGTAACATTGGTAAGTGGAGACAGATAAAATGAGAATGTAGATGAAATGGGATTGGCCATGAATTGATAATTATTGAAGCAGGATGGTACATAGGGTTTTATTGTACTAGTCTTTCTACTTTTGAGTAGGCTTGATATTTTTCATTCTACAATAAGGTTTTTTTTTTTTTTTTTTTTAAGAGAATTACACTATTTTAACCAGTAGGTGGCACTGTATTGTCACCTTGAACATAGGTTGATGGTGACTAAATTGTGTTAGCTTATGATGTTTAAGATATGCTAATATTTCTCTAAAAGTATTCTTTTCTTTTGGTAAATAAAGTTCAACAGTTTAAGGTATTTATTGAAATTTTTCAGGTCTTATGAAATAATGACAGAATCCCAGTATTGATAGAACTTGACAAAACTTAGCATATTGTTTTGTATTTTATTACAATGTTAGGTATTGAATTTTAGATTCCACATAAAAGCATAATGCAGAAATAAAGCTAAAACTCAAATATGTAGGATATTCAGTACTAACCTACAGAACAATGAATATCCTAACCTAGCTCCTTGTTAAGGATTGTGAATTAGAAGTTCATTTTTTAAAATATGACACAACAGGAAAATACCAAGGTATATGGAAATAATTGTAGTGTCTGATAATAAATTTGAAAGTATTTTAGTTCAATAACAAATATAACTATCTTTTTGGAGTTTTATTTTATTAGTAAATGTTTGCAATCCATGAAGTTTTCACTCATCTCCCATTCTCTAGGTTGTCTCTTCATTCTGTTGATTGTTTCCTTTGCTGTGCAGAAGCTTTTTAATTTGATGCAGTCCCATTTGTTGATTGTTATTTCTTTTGCAATTGGAGTTCTGTTCAGAAAGCCCCTGCCTACACCTATGACTTCAAAAGTTTTACCTATTTTATTTTTCAGTAGGTTCATTGTTTCCATTTTCATATTTAGATCTTTGATCCATTTTGATGGCCGTGTAGTACATGGTGAGAGATGTGGGTCTAGCTGAAATCTTCTGCACATGGATAGCCAGCTTTCCCAGCACTGATTAAAGAGGCTATCTTTCCTCTAACATGTGCTTTTGGCCCTTTTGTCGAAGATCAAATAGTTCATTGTATCTGGGGATGTTTCTGGATCCTCTGTTCCATTGATTCACATGTCTGTTCATATGCTACTGACATGCCATTTTTATCACTGTTGCTTTATGGTATAAATTGAAATCAGACCCCAAATGGTGAAGACCTTACTCACTCGTGCCACTGCCAGGTGACCTAAGAGAAGGTTCAAATGGTAGAGACAGTAGATCCTGGAGTGCATTTTCCGGTGGGAAACCTGGCAGGGCATGTCAGCTCTCCTACCAACCTTTTATCCTTTTACCAACAAAAGCTTTTATAGGCAGCTAATAGTAGGAAAGGAAGGAGATTCCTGAATGCAAACATGTCCCTGGCAACTGTTTGTCCCTGGAGTTTTGGCCATGGGTTCAGGTAGTCAGTCCCTTTTCCCAAGTGCTCACCAGAGGATGCATGCCTCGCAGGAGCCAGGACTTACATCCTGCCTGGCTGTGTCAAAACTGTTAACAGCCACTCAGGTTCATACACTTAGGTTTGTTTGCTTGCTGCTGACCAAAGGAAGCCACATATTTTGGTAAAAAGGATTTATTTAATGCTAGCTCCAAGGACACGGAGGCGGCCCATTTGCCTCAAATCACCGTCTCAGTTTTATCACCTGGGTGAGTATGTGGTGGGGAAGCACAGAATAGGAGTGTGTGGAAGCATAAGTCTGTGAAGCCCTTCAGCATTTTCCAGTGTCTTCCATAGAGGCCACATGCTGGTGTGTCATGCCTAGTAGAAAGCAGCAGAACAGGTTTTTGTGGCAAATCAAGACCCCTTCCCCAATATGTATTCTAAGTGCAATGATTTTTGGTTGGCTTTTCATGTCAGCAGTGTTTCTTTCCTCCAGTGGGATTCCTGTTTGATGTAGAGTGTAAAAACCACTTCACCCACCACCAGATCTCGTGTGATCGCAGTGTCAGTATTGACTGTTCTGTCCTAAACTGAGCATTCAGGCTCACTACCCGCCTACCTCCTTAATCTAACCCCACATCTTGGTGTTGACTTTTTATTTTGCAATACATTAATCATTTTTCACACAATAAATGTACATAAGAGACAGACCAGTGAGTGGCCGTCGTGAATTAAATTCAGCCTGTTTATCTGCAATTCTGCACATTCTGTGTTCCTCTATTTTCTAGGAAGAGGCATGTTGACTTATTTTACACATACACATATATGAAAGCAGACTCCCCCGCAGTATCCCAGAGAGAAGGATTACTTCTTTATGACAATTCCTGTCAGTAACATCATTATCTCCAATTTTCACATTAATTTCTTGAGGATTAATTTTTTACATTGTACATATATCCCTGGCCAGGTTGCTAGAACCTGTATGTATTTTACAACTTCAAACCAGGAAAAAAATCATCTCCACAGTGATGGTTCTTTTTTTTGGTACCAGGGATCGAACTTGGGACCTTGCACTTGCGAGTCAGGTGCCGGAACCGCTGAGCTAAATCCCAGCCCTTCCACAGTGATGGTTCTTAAAGCTTAGTGGGCAGAACTCATCAGAGGTGTTTGCTAAAATGCATAGTCCAGGGCTTCAGCCCCAGAGATTCTGCCTAGGTCAAGAGAGAAGGACCTCTTGGGGATTTTGTTGAGCACCCTGGGTGGTCTGATACAGGTAGTTCTTACAGAGAAGTGCTATCGTGGAACTGTAATCTCTTCTCAGAATCATTGCTGCTGCTTCTTCAATGAATTAGAATTTATTTAGTGCATTAGGTAATTTTCTAAGTGCTATAAATGAGATAGTGGAGTCTCCTTTTTTTGGCAAATATGACAGTGGTAATTTTTATAGATAATATTTTATACTTTAAAATAGTCATTTTAATCATAATAACTCTAGTTTCAAAAGTATTTTATATATGTTATTAGGTTTATAAATAATCAAGTAGGTAAGGCAGGTATTATCATCAGCAGGATTACCTGACCTCAGCACTATTGACACATTGTGGCAGATAAGTCTTTTTGAAGGTGCACACAGGAAGCAGAGAATCCAGGTTTGGGAATTCAGCAGGTGAATCTGATGGAAGTAAGGGGGTAGGGCTTGGACATGGGTTGTATGATGGGAAGTGGTTACAGCCTTTGGAGGTGAGGACAAAGGCTGCCAGTTGCTGAATCCTAAAACTGCTGAGGTGAGTAGGTTGGCGGACTCCACAGCATGGTAGCTGTGATCATGCTAAAAAGGGGCATTGGAGGCAGTGCCTGGACATTAAAGCATGGAATTCATGAAATTGAGGTTTTTGGAGCTATCCAGTACTGTATGATGACAAGTCTTTATGGCCATAGGAGTAGATAGCTGGGGCTTGAGGGAAGGACGGAGAGTGAGGAAGGAAGAAGGGAGGAAATGAGGAAGCGAGGGAGGAAGTCAAGATCTGAGTTGTAGGTGTGGTGGATATCTGCATGGTGGACATCGCTAAGAAGGCTGCTGCTCAGAGGAAAGCAGGAACTGTAGCTAAACTGCTAGGCAGTTGAGATGCATCAGGGAAAGCTGGAAGGCTGTGATTCACAGCAAGTACTTCAAAGTAGATGTGGGTTTTGAAAGAAGAGAGAAAAAATGGTCTAGAAGTAGTAATGAGGGATGAGGCAGCTATCAAACCCCCGGCAGACGTGTATGTTTTTGGGTATGGAAACAATCAGTAATCAGTTTGAGGGAATAGAGTATAGTCTCTATACTCTATACTCTCTGAGTTGAACAGGTTTCACTTAGAGCAAGCAAGAAAGGAACATTGAGAGGTCAGGATGAGGATACAGAAGAGTTTCTTGTTGGCAGATGGTGAGTTCCCAGGATAATAGTGAAGAATGAGGGAGGGGATAGGGAACTTTTCATCCTTAATTTAAACAGTTTTGCCTTATATACGTATGTATATGAGAAGTGCTCATATATGTATGTTACTATAAAACATCTCTTAATTTGACCCTTAATTGATTTGGCAACATCTTGCTTACAGGAATGGTTTGCAGTATATGTGGAGCTTAATCAGCAAATTGCAGCACTCTTGAATGCTGGAGATGAGGAAGATCTTGTGGAACTGAAGTCACTGCAGCAACAACTTAGTGATGTTTGTTATCGACAGGCCAGTCAGCTGGAATTTAGGCAAAATCTTTTACAAGCAGCTCTAGAATTTCATGGTGTTGCCCAAGATGTAAGTGTCTTCTCTGATTACTTTTCTTTTTCTCAGATGATCTGAACAATCTACACATAATTTTTTCAGGTTTGCATGCCTTCTAATTATTTTTTGGAAAAAATAAAATAATACACTGGGGGGTTAATGAGATAAAATTCTTTGATTTCAAAAAATTATAAGTCATTCTGCATGCAATTAAACCTTTTATTGTCTAACTAGAGTGCTCCAAAGTAGTAGATATATTTCATTTTGACTGTTTCACAGTATATATGCTTTTTAATAAATTTTTAATAAATGAAAGTGTCAATTTTTTTACATTCCACTGACCTGGATGTACTTCTTTGTCTTTCTTATGCATGCATCTATGTGTCCCATCTTCCAGATAACATGTATTCTGCTGATTTGTCCCTGTCTTTTTAACAGCATAGTCTTTTCTAGTGTAATTGTGATAATTTCATTAGACGAACCTCATTAATCATTAAACTGTAGATGCTGATTACATCAGGGTTATCTCTTTGGTGTCCCTCTGCTTTAGTTGTCTCAGCAGTTGGATGGCTTATTAGGGATGTTGTGCGTAGATGTAGCACCAGCTGATGGAGCATCGATTCAGCAAACTTTAAAACTGCTTGAAGAGAAGCTGAAAAGTGTTGGTAAGCAGATTTTAAAAATGCTGAAACATAAGAGTTCTTTTAAAAAATATTACATAGTTAAACAATTAAGTCATATTATACTGAACTAATTATTACTTGTAGGGAACACAGGAAAAAAAGTAGAAAAAAGGTTTTATTCCCTAGAGGGGGTATAATTTGTACTAAAAATTTTATTTTCCATTGTTGATTAGGCACTCCTCCCTTCACTGGGCCTTTAGCTTTTCTTGTTTACTCAGCCATATATCTACAGGTGCTATGTCTTGCATATCCGAGGAACAGTTATTTGTAGTGCATGTATACACTATAATTAGTTGTGTTCTGTGGTAAACCCTGTATGCCCCAAACTGTGTTTTATGCAGTGATTTGTTGTTGTTGCTATACCCTAACCTTGTGGAAAAAATAGTTGATTTGGTTCTGTGCACTTGTTTCTCCACACTGGGAATATTGTCAAGGTTGCATAGTCTCCAAGGGAACAACCACCTGACTGCATTAAGCTTACTGTCATTGGACAGCAAGATCTTGTACATGTTTTTAGGGTAGGAAATACGGTGAATGCCCTATATAGGGTTGTAAAAATGGAAAGGGGATGTCTACGAAGGGGAACAAGGGAGAGGAAACAGGAATTTAAAGCAGAGAATTAACAATGTGGTGAATGTGATTGAACCAAATTAATTAATTATGGGAAACAACTACAGGGAATTATTTTGAAAAAAATATTTCTATTATTTTACTTATAACCTTTATAATTTAACAGATTAGATGTATAATACATACTTAATAGGCCAAATAAAATTTATTTTAAAATAGCAGAAGTTTTCTTGAGCCACATATTCTTTAAAAAAGAATTCTATGTACATATCTAATTTGGAGTATTATAAACATATTGTGTATGTTCCTTAACATGGTGTGTAAGCAGGTCTGAACTCCTCTTACAGTATTCATCATCCTTTTACATTGATGATATATGTTATGAGTGTTTTGAAATCTTATAAATCTTATACTTTTTTGCATGTGTGGTATTGGGGATTGAACCCACCAGAGACTTTATCATGGAACTGACACAGGGTTCCCCTAAATTGCCCAGGTTGCCTCTAGTTTGTAATTATTTTTTAGCTCCTGAACAGCTGACATTACAGGCATGTTTTGTTTTGTTTTGTTTTGTTTTATTTTGATATTGGGAACTGAATCCAGGGCCTTCTCACTGAGTGACATATCCTTAGCCCTTTTTCTTTTTAAATTTTTTGTTTTGATATAGGGTCTTATTAAATCACTCAGTTGTTCAGAGTGGACTTGAACTTGTGATCTTCCTATCTTAGCCTCCCAGAATGCTGGGGTCACAGGTATATGTCACCATGCCTGACTTCAGTCATGTATTTTTAACAAAATATTTATATTGGCATCCTGAAAGTTGGAATTTATAAAAGCAGAAAGGGAAAAAATAGAAAAAACTTATTTTTCAAAGTAGAAATTATTCTTTCTTCCCCTTTCAGTTTTAAAATAGTAATATTATCTATGGAGATTCATGTTTTGAAAATTCCCTTTAGGGAGAATTTTTCATAAGACAGCTCTACTTTGAGCCCTATTTAAAGGGGTTTATTACTTGAGGTGTTTGATGTTCAGAGAACTCCATCTCAGCATGGTTTAATGTATGAAATTGGTACACCTAGAATCCAAGTGCACTATCTCCTGAGAGGATTTGAAGGAGAGACTATAGCAGTTTAAGATATTAAATATAATAACTTTTGTTTTAGATGTAGGACTGCAAGGTTTGCGTGAAAAAGGTCAAGGTCTCCTGGATCAGATCTCCAATCAGGCATCCTGGGCCTATGGAAAGGATGTAACCATTGAAAATAAAGAAAATGTGGATCACATACAAGGAGTGATGGAAGATATGCAACTTAGGAAACAAAGGCAAAGTTTGACTGTTAATGTTAAATTTATCAAGATACATAATAAAACTAAAGTTGTTTAATTTATGTTTTGCATACAAACTGAAAGTTTTTACCTGCTATATAATAAGCATGTAATAGATTTGTGGTAAATAATTATTATATTGTAATTGTAATAATTTTTGTATATAATTGTACTAACAGATAATGGCAATTTGTTCAGTTAATGAGTACCTTTTCCTCTTTTTATTTGTTGGTAAGAATTTCAGTTATACTTAAATACTTCATATGCTATAACCTATGACTCTGCTTTGCTCTAAGAAAACCTTTTGGGAGAAATGTGCTTTCCATTTAATTTAATTTAATTTAAAGTTGGGGTTAAATCTGTCCTCTATATTGGTCTGTTTCTTTATCTCTTGTCACACATCCATTGTTCTCATGTTTGCTGTATAAGGGTTGGACAGTGGACTGATGATATTTAGTTTCATTTGATATGGAACTAGGAATTTAAGGGATTCTTTGGAAACTCAGTTTACAGTAGCAACTGCTATTACAAAGCAAAAATTATTACAAAGTAAAGGATTAACTATATAGCCAAGATAGCTATCTATCATGGTTGTGTGAAATACTATATACTCGGAAATTTTAAAGTCATCAACAAAACTTCACAGAAAACTCTCCCCCACAAAGAAGTAGTCAGGCAGGAATTCCCCCTGCTGCTGCCTGTCCTGTATCTGCAGACTCGTCACCACAGAGTGGGAGTATGTTCATCTCACAAAGTCCAGTTGCTGAGTAGACTCATTCCCAGTGCTGTCACATACCATTCTCTACTCGAAATCTGCCCTTGCTTAACTGCTTAACTCTCTCTTATTTAAATTATTCTGAAGTGCACATAAATAATGGTTATATGAAGTAGCATTTTCTTCTTCCACTGCCTGATTTCTAATGTTTCTAGTGTTTCTGTTTTTAGTGTTCCTGAAAGTAAGTTATGTGCATGTCTAATTTGCATTACTACTTCCAGTTTCCTTTTGATCTGTCTTCAGTCTGACTTTTCTACCCTTGCCATTTCACTCCATCACTCTTGTTGGTGTTACCAGTAAGTTTTGGGGGGGAAGTGGGTACTGGCGATTGAACTTGGGAGCTTGTGGTTGAGAGGCAGGTGGTGGCACCACTGAGCTAAATCCCCGGCCCACCAGTAACTTTTGATCACGATACGTAATAAGACATTTGATGATCTTAACCAAAGCCCAGAGAATATTTTAGTCTTGACGTGCAAGGTTCTAAATAGTAATGGACACAACTGACCTTCTCTTTCTCCATGAGACTCCCTGCCAACCTTGCCTTTCTTCAAAATGCTCTCATGGTCCTCTTTCTGGAACTCAGTTTCCCCTTGTTTATTTTTTTTCTCCTATGTTTTTGTCTTCTCACTGAAGTCATTGCTTCCAAAGTTTGTTTTGAGCCTGAATTCTCTTTTCTCTGTTTTCTGTCTGGACAGTCACTGTTTTAATGACTTTTAAAAAATTACTGTAGTCTAGTAGTTATGGCTCTTCCTGTGTTGTAAACCCATAATTCAGTTTGCCTGCTCAGTATCTCTTGTTAGATAGCCCATATACTCCTCAAACCTTGTATGTCTAGATTAGAATTATTTCCCCTCAGAACTTACTATCTTCTATTTCAAGTTCACATTAAAGTATATCAGCTACCAAACTTAGAATTTATCCTAAAATTTTTCATGTTCCTTGTCTCTTAAACCTAATCAAGTTCTGTTATCACTGAATTCTTTATTCAAGATTGTGCCTCTGGCCTTGTCCCTCTTCAGTTTGTTGTACTCTAATCTGCATACAGCATAAAGATTGTATAAAACCTCCTCCAGTGACTTCCTATTTTGTTCAGATGAAGTTCTATCTCTTTGAAATAGTGTAACAGACTATTCATCATCCAATCCTTATTTTCTATATCTTTCCCACAAAATCACACAGTTGTCTTCAGTTTCCTTGAGTGCTGTATGCTGTTTCGTGTATCCTGTATTCATGTCTAAGAATACTTCTTTTACCTCAAGTTGTGTGTCAATGGAAACCTACTACTTTTTTTTTTTTTTTGAGACTTAAGTGATACCCCTCCCAGGAATCTTGTTAGGATTTCTAAGGCAAGTTAATCACTTGCTTCTTCCTATTCCCATAAAAATTTTTGTATAGCTGCATAATGGCATTTATCACATTGTTTAAAAACCATCTCCCTTAAAGGAGTATCTCAGTAGTGGAGACTGTCTTAGTTTCTCAATACTTGACACACAATATGTTGAATATATATCATTTTATCATTAAAGGTGCCTTATGTTATTTTTCAGTTTCAGATTTTAAAAATAACTATTATCACTTACTTTCAGTCCCTTGTAGACTGACTTTAACCAGGTCGCATCTTAACATTAGACTCTGACTTTTATTAAGGTCATCTTTTTCAAAAGTAGCTTTGTGATAACCACTTCTGTATTGTTATTAAGCTTTCTTTAAGGACATCAGCTGTAGTAGGAGCCCAGTGCCTGTCAGGTAACTTGTTAGTGATATTTGGCACTGACTATTCCCACCTACAGTGCACGGAGATGGATGGGAATGAAGGAGATAGGCCAAAACTGAGATCAAAGGCCAAGACACCTGTAAAGTCTTACCTGCATATTATTGAGGCAGACGGTATATTTAGAGGTTTAAAAATGCTCTAAATTGGTGTTTCTTTCCACCAAAGATCAATGAAATTTTCCCCTTAAGACTGTAGATACAAGCTTTTTTTTTAAAAAAAAAATCAGAATTATGTAGTATTCTAAATAATACAGTTTAATGAAAAGTGTTAATTATAAAAATTTTCCTATCTTCTAAGCTAGCATTTGAGAAACTACATCTTTGTCTTTGAATCTTGTTCAATGTAGATTGGCAATGGAGATTTCTTTGAGTTTTAGTGTGCTGTTGCATTTATGCTTTGCTTCAATATTTTACAGAATCCATGCTATCCTCAAGAGGGTTTGTCATTCAGTATAATTCAGGTATTTTGAGGTTTTGGTGTAACATAGATATAGATTAGATGTCCTTAAAATTCTTAGAAGTCAATGCAAAATAGTTGCAATCTCTATAGTATAGGACTAAGTAATTTAGTATACTGTAAAGCACCAGATCGTGTTGTACAAGTTTGTAAAATGAAAATGATGAACTAAATTTATGTTTGGATTCATTAGATGTGAAGACATGGTAGATGTGCGAAGGTTAAAGATGCTTCAGATGGTGCAGCTATTTAAATGTGAAGAGGACGCTGCCCAGGTAAGGAGCAGTCAGCCACATTATGTGGTTATTCTTAGAAGATTGATTTCATCTCATAAACAAAAGTATACTACATACAGTCCTAAGAAAATAAATTCATTAAATCAGATTCTAGATTATCCTGTTGAAGAATAAAGCTTGGTATTCCCAGATAATTTACTGACCTTATTTGACTTCTCAGTGAAATCCTCTACTGAGGTAGAGATTGGGAGTAATTAATAGTTATTATTGTTGATGAGGTTATTTAGTTACATCTCAGAATAAAGGATAGTAATGCACATTGCTTTCTATCCACAAGATAATTATAACACCAGATAAGCAGTTTGATGTCTTTGTATAGCTAGTGTCAGAACATCATTTTACCTTGATGTAGAGGGAACTTTTGATTGACATAGTAACATGAAAAAAATGAGAAGTAGAAAAGGTCATTAATTCACAGACCATTACATTGAATGAAATAGCTATTAAGAATTTAGGTAGTAGGTAATAGATTCGTTGATCATATGATAAAAATCTTTGTATGAAAATAATGTTTTGATATAATAAGAGTTGTGAATCCAGCCTTACCATTGTGTGTTTTCATTCAGGCTGTAGAATGGCTAAGTGAACTTCTGGATGCTCTCCTTAAGACCCACACCAGATTGGGCGATGATGCCCAGGAAACGAAAGTTTTACTGGAAAAGCATCGAAAATTTGTTGATGTTGCACAGGTGCAGGACTGGTTATCTTCCTTTTCTCCAGGCTCAGTGTTTGAGTAGCTTTCTGCATGCTTATAGGGTGACTTAACCCTGCAAGTCAAAGAACTTTATTTCTGTTATTCCAAAGAAATCACAGAAGTAAGAAAATGCCAGCTGTTGCATCAAAACTAGCCTGCACAAATGTGAGAGGGTTTGTGTCTCCAATACCGACCACCTCTGTGTACTTCCTACATTTATGTTCGATATTATGGTTTCTTTAGGCAGTCCAACTAGTCACTCACAGAAATTAATATGAAATATGTTAATATCAGTAAATTAGAAACCTCACATTCTCCCTCTCACTAATGTTAGCATAATAATACAGAACTGTTTTGTGAAGAGCAGTATCTCAGTATTTTTCCTAGTAAGTGAGTTCACACTGTAAGAGTTGTAGTTTTTTATATGGAATATAAAGTAGCTAATTTCACTTGTTTTGGTAATTAGTGAACAGGCATTCTTTTTGGCCAGTGGTACTTAGCAGCCTGAGATGGAGAAAGCAAAGTAAAAAAAGGAGGCTGAAAAAACTTATGAACTAACTAAACATATTGTTTCCCCTCTATTACTTATTCATGCAGATCATTTATAGTAATAAGTGCCACTTGTTCATTGAGCACTGATTTCTGATAGTATCACTCCTTTAGCCACCTCTCTTCAGAGTTAATTACAATTTCATGTTTACCCTTTCTGTTCTAGAGTACTTATGACTATGGTAGACAGTTGCTGCAGGCCACAGTTGTGTTGTGTCAGTCTTTGCGCTGCACCTCGAGGTCCTCTGGGGATACGCTTCCTCGCCTGAACAGAGTGTGGAAACAGTTTACCATAGCATCTGAAGAAAGGGTACATAGGTTGGAAATGGCTATTGCATTTCACTCAAATGCTGAAAAGGTTTGCTTTTGTTTTTTTTTTGTTTTTGTTTTAGTGTCGTCTCAACGATACTTATTGCACATATGTTTAAAATGTATTCTAATAGTGTAATTATATGATTGATGTATTTGTTAAAGCATTATGTGAGTTCCATTGTTAATGTTTTTAAAGATACATTCAGTGGTCCTCACTTAGACCTGCTTCTCTCCTTCATTAACCCAATGGCTAGGGCATTCTCAGTTCCTGGTGTCATGATGTCAGGCTTTTTCATGATGCCAGAAGAGGAAGCTGATTTGGCAGCTCATACTAATTATCACCAAGTTTAAAAGCTCACTTTGTAATTTTACAATTTAAATTAGAGAGTGTCCAACTAAAATAATGAGAAATCCTTTTTTAAACTGTGTTAAGGTACATGCTGGAATTTATTATCCAATGAGTTAAAGTAATTAGTCCCAAAAACCAAACATAAAATATTTAGTGTTATTTGGGCAAAATTTTAATGGAACCCTTTCCCTATACTTCACAGTGAAAATGTACAGCACCCAGTTGGTTTATATTTTCACTTTGAAAAAGAGATTGGTCTTACAGTTAACTTTATATTGGTCTCCTTTAATGAGTGTTTGTCTGTAGGGGATATTAAATATACTTCTAGATATGGAAAACTTAAAGGAATCTTAGGAATTAAGCAGTTTCTGTCTGTGTTATGAAGTACAGCTATTGGGAAGTGCCTATAGTTAATTCTTTCACCTGGTTTCTGATCTCTGCAGATCCATGTTTGATTGAAATGGGTCTAAAGATGGTGAAAGAAAGAACACAAGTTGACTTGGCTTGTTTATTATTATTTTTATTGATAAAATTTTTATTAATAAAAAAGTTTAGCATAGAAAAGTTTACAAACCTTGAGTGTACTGTTTGATGAAATGTCACAAAGTAAACATGCCTGTGTAACCAGTGTACTGTTCAAAGAAGAGAACATTACCAGTAACTTCGGATTTCCCCCTACCCTCTGGTGGTTACAATATTTGTCCCTACAGCGCCATCAAAGGGTGAGCATTGATTGACCTAATTTCTAACACCACTGATAACTTTTTAGGATATTACTTTTAAAATATATTTGCAAGGACATCTTAAAATGTAGAATTCTTTAGAGATTATTTAAGAATAAATACAGTTAAGAGTTTTTTAGTTGTTTTTGTTTTTGCAGTACTCGCGATTTGAACCCTGAGTTACATCCCTGCCCTTAAAAAAATTTTTTTTGAGACAAAAATCTTTCTGAGTTGCTGAATTCTGTGGCTGTGCTTGAACTTGTGCACCTCCTATCTCAGGCTCCCAGAATGCTAGGATTACAGGCATGTGCTACCATGCCCAACTTGGTTAAGAACTTTTTAGTAGAAAATTAATGTTTCCATTTTTTTCTGTTACCTGGCTTTTACCTTGCTTATAATACATTTTATGTAAAATTATTTCACTATGAAGACTTACTTGAAGCCTTCTGTTATCAGATATTATTTTCCTTTTTATAATTTTCTTTTATTTTTTCCTTTTATTTTCCTTTATATTCTGTTTTATACCAGTAAGCATAAATATAACCATAACTATAAGCAAATTATATAGTAATAATAATTGGGAAATATCTAAATGAAATTTTGGAGTACTAGTGAAATAAATATGATTGGATTAAGTAAAATGTAATGCAGAAAATGCCAAAATAAATACTTGTTTTTCTTCTCCCCTAAATTTTGCAATTCTTTCTTAAATTTCAATAGTAAAAGACGAAGTAAGATGGGAGACCATAAATGAATTATAATCATTTGAGTCAGCATATATTATTAAATATAAAATGCCTAGCTAGATCTTTACATCAGTTACATGTTTGTACTTTATATGTTGTTTTTAATTTATATTTTGATTTTTGAAGTCTCAAAGTTACTTATGGACAGTCTATAAGTCATTCACATCCCAAAGTGCTAAATAAATATACTACACATTGAAATGATTAATAAATGATTGCCTAATGAGTAAGAGAATACTTCTTAAACACAGGTTGAACTTACTTTCCAGATAATATCCTACTATTAATTTTTTTCTTGAAATCACCCATAGAGCTTTTTATATTCTGATTATATATTGTGAATTAGGATTAATGTATTTCATTTTGTTATTACAATTTCTTGAGCCAACTTACAAGTCATAGATTGATTTTATACAATAGTCCATATAAGTGCTAAGAGTAAAACAAAAAGCACCTATTCAGTTTACTAAATTAGCATGAACTTGCTTCCCATTCTGTTCTCGTGACTGATGTCTCCCTTTTATTTGTTGCAGATTTTGCAAGACTGTCCAGAAGAGCCTGAAGCTATTAATGATGAGGAGCAATTTGATGAAATCGAAGCAGTTGGGAAATCACTTTTGGATAGGCTAACTGTTCCTGTAGTTTATCCTGATGGGTACGGTGCATACTATTACAATTTTTATTTTATTGGTGAGCTCTTAAAGTGAAATGTTAGGGAAAAAACCAAGTAAATTCACTGTGGCCCACATCTTCAGATAGTTTAAACTGGAAAGAAATTCACACACAATTTTTAGCCACAACAATAGTTGGTGCTTGCTTACATCAGCTATATTGCTTGACAGCTGCTGTAGAACGATGATCATTGACTAGATTGAGACTTTGGGCTTTATTCAGGAAAGGGGAGGTATGGAAAGGGACTGATGTTTAGTGAACTTGGGATATGTGCCAAACACCAAGTTGAACCCTTTGTCTTCATTATTTTTGGCGGGGAGGTGTGGGGGAACTTGAACCCTGGGCCGTATGCATGCATGCTACAGAGCCATATGCATTGGTGAGAAAGCATGCTAGGCAAGTGCTTTCCCACTAAGCTCTAGACTTTTAAAATTTGTGTTTTGAGACAAAGTCTTGCTAAGTTGCTCACCCTGGCCTCAAATTTGGTATCTTCCTGCCTACTACTATGTAGTAGCTGGGTTACAGGTGCATATCCTTTTGTATTAGTCACTTTCCCATCATTGGGACAAAATATTTGACACATGCAACTTCCAGGAGGAGAGGTTTGTTTCGGTTCAAGTCTCAGTCCATGCATAGTTGGTTGCAAGATAGAAACAGCAAGGGCATGGTGGAAGGGCATGGCAGGGGAAAGCTGCTTGCCCCATGGCAGCCAGTGAACAGAAAGAGAGGGGAGGAGCCAGGGACAAGAGTAAACCCTTCCAGGTCACAGCCCCAGTGACCCACCTCCTCTGACTAGCCCCTACCTCCTAGCAGCACATTCAGCTATTAACTCATTAGTGGATTAATTCACTGATGAGTATAGCAACTCCATGGTCCAGTCACCTTCTGTAAGTCCCACCTCTGATCATGAGACTTTTGTGGGACATTTTAGATCCAAACCGTACTAGTTGATATCCTCCTGCCTCAGCCTCTTGAATAGCTGGCATTACAGATGTGTGCTACCACCCTAAGCTGTCCTTCATTACTTTTGACCAAATAGTATCAGGCTGGTATTCTTATTTATGATTGAGAAATGAAGAAACTGAGGCTTAGAAAGATTAAGTAAGGTGACCAGAACTTCACAACTTTGTATGTCAGTTAGGTGTGGTCTCAGGGCCCTCTGGCTCCATGCCCATTTTCTGTTCACGGTGCTATACAGCACCCTAAGTTCATGTGTAAAACCTGGGTCCTAATTCCACTATTTTATCCATTTCAAGTGGCCAGTGAGTGGTGAAAAGTATGAAATAGTAAAATACATAGGCCAGTCGAATTTAGGAGCTTTATCCCTGGTGATCTGGCTTTCTCAGTGACAGTAATTTAGGGATAATCCAGGTGATATTTAATTCAAGCGACAGAAAAACCATTAAGTAAGAAGAGTACAAGTATCCTTACTTTGTGGCAGAGGGTGAAGGAGGAGAATGTGGTCTGGGTATGCTTTCCAGCAGAGGTACTGTAGGTAAGTTACTCCTCCTCAAGTGGGGAGTTCCTGAGGTAAACGTGTGGGCAGTAGGTCACACAGGTACAAGACATAAAGTAGTGAGCATGCAAGCACCCTCTTTTAATATTTAGGATTGTTCATTTTTTCTATTCTATATCGTATTAAAAATATATATGTATATTTTAGGTATTTTGTGATATTAAGTATATCACAAATTGTGTCAATTCCTAATTATTGATACAAAGCAATCTCTTTATCCTGTGTAGAGTTTGACAAGTTCTTCAGATTCATCTTTTATATATTCTGGTAAAATAACAGGAATTGATCATCTCTTTATTCACTGTTTGAAGACTCACATTCAAACCTTGAGTTTTCTACTGTGTGACCTTGGTTAAGTCATGTAACTTTCTAGTCTTTAGGCTTTGTTTTTGTTTTTTAGTGGCTCTGGGGATGGGACCCAGGGCCTCACACATGCTACAATGTATTTTGTCACTGAGCTACATTGTCAGCCCTAAAATGAAGAGGTTGCACCAGGAATTTCCAAAAACTCTTCCAGCTCTAATTTTGTATCTTGCAAGTGCAAAATACCCAAAACTTTCATTTATTCATATGTCAAACCATGTCTTAACATCAAAAAAGATGTTGTACTTGCCAGCTGTAGTCAACAATTGGTATAACCACCTTTAACCAAATACACATACAAAATAAATGTTTGTGCATGCTTGTGGGTGGGTGGAGAATTGAAAGGCCTAAATATCATAAATATACATGGTAGGGCATTTGTACCACTAACACATTTTTCTCTTTGTCGCCTAATTTACTTTATACCATTTTAAAAATATTTTTCCTGTGGAATTACTACTCAAACAGTATAGTCTGAATTTCTAAACACAGACTACATCACAAAGATACTTTTTAATGATAATATTTGCTTGCAGTTGCATACCCTGGAGTTAAATGAATTTGTATTCATCTGGGCTTTTTTTTGTCTTTTGATTTTAGAACCGAACAATATTTTGGGAGTCCAAGTGACATGGCTTCTACTGCGGAGCACATCAGAGACAGGATGAAACTAGTTAGTCTCAAAAGGCAGCAGCTGAGACATCCCGAAATGGTGCCCACAGAGAGCTAATAGCTACCAGCTTCCCACAGACCTGCAGCTCATCTCCTACATGTCATTGGCACACTGCAGCATTCGCCACAGTACATTAGGATGCATCTCACAGCAGGATAAGCCTCATTTCTTCCCATGCCACATTTCCCTCTACATGCTAACACCTCACAACTACCAAGGCATCATTATTTAACATGCTTTGAGACCACAGACTCCAGGTATCTTAAAAGAAGGAGCAGTAAACATTGCACTGAAAACTTGCTTTCGAGCTTTACCTGACCTGTCAATTTGTAGATGAACAACTGATAATAAGCTTCGAATGGTGCTAATAAGAGTTTAGGAATTCTCTCCTTTAGAATATGGTTGCCCTTCTTCTCCAGGTGATGTAGTAAATTTAGTTGTAACTAAACTGTTATTAGTAGACAGTGGCATTCTCAAAATTTTAATTTGTAATTCTTCAGAATTGATTATTTTTATTGTGTCAATATGGAGAAAATCCTTCAAATCTTTGATATATTACATTCATTAAAAGACATTTTCCTATTTGTATTGATAATGTATTAAAACTTGATTGTGCTTAATAAAAAGCTTCTTTAAACATCTTATTTAATTTGGTAGTTATATCCTATCTCCAAACATGAGTGCCTTATTAAAAAGGGCATTCTTAAGATTGTAAGGGTGATTTAATAATTGTTTTTTCATGGTGGTTGCATGTGTCTTAGCCAGGAAATTCATAAGTAAGCATGTATATATAATAAGCATGTTTTATCATGAAAAATAATTGCGAAAAACAACTTAGATCTTTAAGGACGTCTTAATAACAGGACACGGTTTCTAATTTTTCTCTTCTTCAGCTTAAAAAATACTGTCCAAATTATTAATTACCCTGAAGATATTGTATCTTTAGGGGAGGAGAGTTAAGGAAGAAGGCATTCACGATTACTTCAGTGTAATTAATCTTTTATATCAGAATAATCTTTCTGGAACTAAAATAACAATTGTTAATACAATTAATTTCTCATGACAGACTAGAGGCAAAATCAATTCTGAAGTAGTCTAATCACAGCACTGTACAACTCCTTTAGAAATAAAATTTATGATAAAATGCTATTCCTCTTATGTTTGTATGTAGTTTCAATTGTAAAATGGATATAATTTATTTTTTTGTTTTTTTTTTGTTTGTTTGGTTGGTTTTTTTTGGTACCGGGGATCGAACTCGGGACCTTGCGCTTGCGAGGCAGGCGACAGAACCACTGAGCTAAATCCCCAGCCCAATATAATTTAATTTTTATGTTAATTTTTATTTCAGATTTTTTTAAAGATTAAAAAAATTCTTTCAGGCTTAGACTCAGTATAAAATTAGGCCAAGAATTGTAAAATATTGCTCATGTCCTTTTTTTTTTGGTACTGGGGATCGAACTTGGGTCCTTGACCTTGCACAGCAGGTGGCGAAACCACTGAGCTAAATCCCCTGCCCTCCTGGTTCCTTTTTATGGTCTGCAAACTAGCTCATGTAACCTCTGATGCAAAAGCCTCCCTGAATCTGCTGGCTTCTCCAGGCTCTTCACTGCCAGATTTCTTGGAGAAGTCCCCATCCATTGTCCCCACATCCTCAGCATTCACTGCTCAGCACCTTGCAGACTGGTTTTGCTCAGCACTGTAATAACACCTTTCGTTGAAAAGTCAGCAGTGGTCTTCCAGTTACCAAATTCAATGTTTTTCCTTAGGGCTGCGTTCCTTACCTTTCAGTCTTTTTCTGTAATATTTGACCATTGAGCAGCCTTGCCTAGATACTGTCTTCTCCCTCAAAGATGCTATCCTGTGCCATAACTGTGAGTATAGTTTTGTTTTAGTTAAAAGATGTCTTCTAAACATGCACTTTCTCAGAGTCTGCCCTCAAATGCTGTGGTTCTTTCTGAGTATCTCATCCCTAGGCTTTCTGTTTCATCTCAGTGTCCTCCATTGCAGTCTGGGTCAAAGTGCCAGACTTAACACTTTCAACTGCCTACTTTACATTTCATCCTACAGGGGGATTTATCATACTTGCCACCTTTCTTCTGTTGGAATAATTTTGGTTAATGGTGCAACCCTTTTTCCTAGTCAAACATGCCTAGGGGCAAAATTCAGCTGTTCCCTCTTATGCTGCCACTCCTTCCAAGAGCATCCAGGAAGTTCTTTTTATACTTGATAATACACTCAGCCTTTCAGGACTTTATTCCTATGAGTAGGAACTTTTATGCTTCTTTTCAGTCTTCACGATGGTGCTAACCACGTTCTACAGTGTTTATGTCTCCTCCTGCTATACTACAAGCTCTTTTGAGGGAATGATATTGTCCTACTTGTTCTAGTTTCAGGCTTTTGCTCATATGTAATAGACACTCAGTTCTTCTACCCTGGATTCTATTGTAAGTATTTGGAATGAACCTTCAGTGATCCCTGTATTGCAGTCTGAAGTATGTTTTAAACATATTTATTTCCTAAAACTAGGACTGACTTATGAATGAATCTCCATATAAGAAAGTCACTTGGCATTTTACTTACATAGGATACTTTAGATATTTAGTTATTATATTCAATATATATTTCCTCTACTGAATGTCGGAGTCATTATAATGTTTTTATTATGACTTTGCTAAAAGGAACTGATTTGTTCTCACCATCAACTCATGGACTTGTAATTGCTAAATAAATTAATTTTTATGTATCTTAAGTGCTCCTGCCCACAGAAAGAGTAGTATAAGGAAAAATCTGGAAGTATTATTTGTAATTTCAGTATTTTACATGAAACTAGACATGCTTTTAGAAAATACGTATTGTTCTTCATATTTAATTTTGCTGCAACTTTCTGTAAGCATATCTGTATATAGAGTTATGAATGAAAACCCAGCAGTGCCCTATGATTGGACTAATTTTTTTGTTTGGTTTGGTTTTGGTTTGAGGGACTTTTTTTTTTTGCCTTCTTACTGCAAATTTGCTCCTGTGTAAACTCAGTATATAATGGCAGTTTGACATTTGTTCATACATGTCTAACTCAGTGGAATTAAGAGGTACAGATGATAGCTTAATGTTGGCTTCATTTCTAGTCCTCATTGTTGGTAACCTTACTCTGCTAGGGTGATTCACTGGAAATATCGATGAAATGGCTCAGCCTGCCAGCTGGGAAATTGATGACAGGTCTAGGTTTCATTGCTAGATGTAAGATTGGATGCTTCCTTCACTTTATAGGGAGTTCAATTGGCTATTGAGCTTCCAAATGTTATCTAGTCTTAATGTGTTTGTTGCTCATTGCCTTGTCAGCTGAAGTATGGTGTTTAGTTTATTGTTACTAGTGTCATACTCTTTAATATGAACATAACAAGTTACTTTTCTGATAGTGCTAAGCAAACTGTGTTCTCTGATCTAAACCCATTATAACCAATGATATGATTGTGAGGTTAGGTGAAAATGTGCAGTGTACATTTGAAAAAATAATTTAAGAGTTCTTTGCTTCACTGTAAGTTACTTGCCAGACTTAGGTACTTCTCCTGTCCTCATATCCTACCTAAAGTACACAGGGCTGTAGTAAAATACCATGGCTACTAAAAACTAAATATACTATGACTGCTAAAGTCCCCTACATCTCGAACCCATAGAGATAATACAAGCAGAAACAAATACCAGTACGTACTTCATCCTTGGTGATGAGAGGTATAATTATGGTATCTTTGTTTAAGCCCCTACGAGACAAGTTCTCTAGGACTAAAAAGATTTATTGAATACAGCTGAGCTGGTAACCTAATGAGTACACTTCACCGGTGCTAACTTTCGGCCCTAGACCTAAGAAGTCTTATTTGGGAATAGAAATACTCTGCTGGTATACAGGCCAACACATATCTTAATGAGGCAAAATGAAGTACAGATTTAACATTTGGCTTCATTATGTGCTTCAAAAAAGTCTAGGTTTTCCTAAGAAGCATAACTAGTGACAAGAATTGAAAAGGAATGGTCATAAAAACTAAAATAAGAACTGTAATGAATATATAGTAGAGTTTGGAGTTTGAATACAGTACTTGACTTCAAAATACGTCTTTACTGATTACGGGGACTCTAGCATACAAAAAAGGATAAATGAATTCCCCCTGAGATATAAAATAGGGAACTCATCAAGCAATTAAAATAATTCATTTATAAAAATGTGTTAGAAATCGAAAAGCTATACAAAATGGAAGGCGTCATTGCTATAATTATCTTTTCAGAGTAAAAATATCAAGTCTTCTTTAATCTTTCTGGGTCTGAAGACAGGCATGGGATGTGGGGAAATGGCAAATTGTTTATGTTGACCACCCCTTTAGCTTGATCTCCCCTTCACACCCCCATTTCGGTAGTGTAAAGGAAAACATACATTCAAAATTACATATCTGAACTACCATAAGCAGCGTTGGTGAGTTTATCAGTACACAATAAGGCTTTGAAAATGACAAATTTGCTGATTTATTGGGAGATGATAGTAGTATGAAGACTGATGAATATTGTCTCTTCTGAGAGTGCCAGGGTATGACACAATTCTCAATATAAAACACAAGTAAAAGAAAATCATAGTTGGAGTATGTATTAGTAAGTCACCACTAACATGTAGAAACAAGAAAAGTGTAAGTCTGTTTAGGATATTTAGAAAGTAGTCCAGTAATGAGGTGAAAAATGATACGTTAAGACCACCATTTGTGCTGGTTATGGTTAGAGAAGAGACATCTTGACAAACTCAGGCAGGGATGATGAACAGAAAAAAACTAGTCCTGTGATAGACTCAGAACTGAGGATATTCCACACGTTATAATAAATACAGGGGAGGCCTTAAGACTGAAAAAGGTCCATGGATAAAATGCTGAGTATGAGTCAGCAATACAGCAGTAGTTTAAAGCAACTTGAAAGCTTGAAAGAGAATACTAGTCCTTGTACTTCAAGAAAAAGCTAAGGTCCAAAGGTGTAGGGGTGGCAGGAGGGGAAGGGGAAAGGGAAGAAGGGAAAGGAAAAATTATGAGAAAGAAAAGAAAATGGAAACAGTCTATGTAAATAGGGAAGGGTGGAGCGGGTGAGAGGCTCACAGGTAATGGGAAAATAAGAACTAAGATACATCATGTTCAGGTAAAGCACCCAATGATAAATATAAACATATTGTATACCTAAAATGTACCAATAAATATATGAATAAAAGAAGAAAAAGAAAAAGCAGAACCTGTACTAGGTACATAAAGAGATGAAAAGGAAGCCAGACCTGTAGCTGAATATATCGAAACCCAGTGAGTTTTTCAAGAATCAAGATTATTTTTGTGAGAACTCTTTATGAGGCAGTATGCAGCATATAATCCCTATATGTCATGGTATAGGCATTCTTAAGAATACAACTAAAAATGACCACTAACTGCCCGTGGTTGAGTGGCGGTGTGAGAGGCTTCAAAGTCTGGCATGTGGAAAACTTTCTGACACAAGGGCTTCTGCACTTTGAAGCAAGTTCCTAGTAAACCTGTAGGGGGCTCCTCAGAATATTTACAAGTCGAATGCCACATCTGCAGGGTGTCCAAATGCAGCTCTTCTTAGAGAGGCTGATTGAGATGCCTCCCCACTGAGA